AGGCATCGCTATCCTTCTTGGAGGGGTCATCGAGGAGATCTACGCACTCTCAGCTATTGGATCGAGCTCTTTGAGCAAAGCCAAGATTCCGTTGCAGGATCGGGTGGTGGCGCCATCGTCAGTGTTGTTTTCGCTCTTTGGGGCGTTGATAAGTTTAAGACATATCTATAAGTTTTTGCTTGTTTCATGCTACAACTATATCATTATTGCATAATTTTGGCACAAGATATTAGTAATTTATGGACAAATCTATTAATTTAGTGCCAATTTTTATTTTATGTTGTTTTTTGACTTTTTAGAAAAAACAAAATTTTGAAGATAAAAAAGGCGGAAAATATATTGGCAATTTTAAAGGCTAAAAGTTTGTACAAAGCATTGGCGGGCTGGAAGGTGATGCCCGTGGACCCCACACACCTATGGCGGAGCCTAAGTAGAGGTCACCACACAACAGCGAGTTGACCATAACGAAGGACCCAAACGAATTGGTAGAAATGAACCTCTTCCAATGAACATGGCTGAGGATCAGGTTCTACACACAATTTCACCGATTTAGGTGCTGGTTGATAACAAAATTGTATGTAACCTTCGACATAAAAGCCGAGTATTTCCGTGCCTATTTCCACTAGTAATCAATGCACATGATATTATCATATTAGACAAGACATTAATTGCATTTCTTGTTAGTAGTATATTAGGCAGATATTAACTGCATCTTTGATATTAGGCGGATATTAATTGCATTTCTTGTTAGTAGAATGTAATTACTTGATTAGCACTGATATTAGCACCCTGTTCGGCAGCTCTCCGCTCCGCCTGCTCTGCGCCGGAGCGGGCCGCGACCTATTTTCTTGGAGTAGCCGATGGGTCGCTCCGTCCACTCCGTGGAGCTGGATGACTGCCAAACAGGCGCTAGGTATATGTTTTAACCAGAGCAAGGTGCTGAACACATTAATTACTTGATTAGCACTGATATTAGGTATGTTTTAACCAGAGCAAGGTGCTAAACACATTAATGAAAACACGCATGGTGCTAAATATGTTTAGCGCTAAACACCGAAGGGTGAGATATGTTGGATCTTCGCAACTCGTTCTTTTTATATTGGCATATGGTGGGGTGTTTAAAAGTATAGATATAGATGAAAGTTCAATACAAATCGGAGGATCTCCCTATAAACATGACAGCACTAAACATGACAATCGTCAAAGGCAAACACACACCAACAGCATACTCTTATTTTTGGCGACCAACAACATACATGACAACAGAGACGTAACTACAGTTTTTATTCGAACAAGCACATATGCCTGTTCACCATCTCACCGAGGCGAAACGATATGGGTTTCCACAGTACAGCCCAGTCTGCTAGATCTCCATGCAACAGCAGAAATGTGCAGCTAAAATTAGCCGCAGCAGCACAAGGACTCCATGCAGCACTCGCAGGTCTCGTAGCAGCAGAAGCAACAGCACAGTGTAAACAGGCTGCAAGCGACAGGCTTCCAATGTAAAATCCACAGTTGTTAACCAGAAACCGGAGCAAGATTAAGTATCAGAAGTAATTTGTAACTTGAACTGAGATTCGCTGCATAATTCATAGTGAAATATCTGAAAATTACTTGCATCTTGGGGTGATCTCAGACTGATTTGATGGTATAATTAAATTCTCTGTGATGCAGTGCGAAAGACAAGATCCAGCCGAAGCTGCATGAAGATGACCAGTAACTACTACCACTTGCCAACAGGATATCATTTTCCATTTTATCTAATGAGCCAAAGGTTTGGGTCACTTGTTTGGTGGATATCCCTTTCAGGAATAAAGGTGAAAGATCACTTCCTACCTCCCTGAATGGCAGTCCCTCACCAAACTGGGGCCTTATTGACGGTAGGTGCTGGAAATGTTTTGGAAGAAAGCTTTGCCGGCAAGGAAGTAATGTACCCCACCCCACTGTGATTAAATCACTGAAATGAGGAAGGAAGTTGAATCATGAGGCTAATTAGTTTCTCTGGGAAAACAAAGCTTTGTAACAAGCCCAAGAGCACCTTTTGCATTTCCGGGCTATTGTCAAGGAGCCATCCTAAATTTTTAGACTTTGTACCCACATCATTTTCACCATGTTCTGAATCCTATAATAACACAATAAAAGTTCAATTAAAAACTTAAAATACTTTTGTACCAAATGCGTGACGTTTGCTAGGGCCTCTCTGATTTGTAGGATTTCAAACTAAGAAAAATGAAGAAACTGGATGCCATGCCATGTTGAATTCACATGAAGTAAAAACACAGAAATATGTAGTGTAGCACAGGTTGTCTGATTGCACCACATGAAAAACACAGAATGTAAGCATAGTGTTTGCCATAGTTTTCACTGAAAATAAGAATAATTTCCATGAGGTTGGACTAGGTGGAAATTTTCCTTTGAAATTGCATGCAAAGCAGTCTATAGGAAAAATTCATATATTCTCAAGAACATTTCCGAAGAAGCATAATCCTCCAAACTTCCTATGAAATTCCTTTGAATTAAAGAGGCCCTAAATCATACTGATTCTTTTTCTTTCATACACAGTTAGGTACTGCTAACTCTTAGGTTTAATAACAAGATACGGGACTCGGGAAATATGAGAAAGGTAAACGACGTAAACTGCCTACCTAGTTTGTTAGAATGATCGTGTGACACATAAACTAGTATTCTGGCGTATGTTAGAATGATCGCGTAACACATAAATCTTGTCTATGTTACTTGTTGCATCAAACAGGTTATTGACAAGTCAGAAATACATAATACTCCCTGGTTGTACTAAAGCAGCGTCAATTAATATGGATCGGAGGGAGTACTATTTTTATAAAGAACTTCGACGCCACGAGCAATATCATGCAAATTTACTCTATTTTTTAAAATAAAATTAAATAAATACTAAAAATTCACTAAGGTGGCCTTATACACCTTAAGGCAAGTTCAAAATCAGAGTGATTCCTCATTGCAGAATACGTCAACAAGAACTCGACCAAAATGCATATTTAACAATTAACAGAGTAACAAGAGTTATCCATAACTATAACAGAACAGAAAGGTTACCATGCATATAAGCAGCCTTTCTCCTCATGGCGCTTCTGAACATGATCATAGTAGGACATGTCCTGCTTACTCGAAGGGTTGTCCATCTTGATGTATATCTCTACACAAGTATCTAAGTACACCAAAAGAGAAGAAAAGGACTATGAGCAGAACAAAGGAGGAAAATATATGGAGTGGACAGTGGCTATCTGTATGGGTGTGAGACCTTTTATAGACCAACTCAAGATTGCAATGTGTCAGGTCGATTCAAGTGTCCAACTATCAAGCACCAGTAGGAACAAAAAGAACTTGACTAGGGTAAACGTAACTGTGGCAGTTGATGTGTTGTTTGCTAGTGCAATAGAGATAGCACAATTTTGTTTAATGAACAATCATATATAACACAGTTTGTTCAATAAGGTATGTACACAAAATAGCAGCATAGGAAATTCTTCATTTTACCAGTATATGTATTTCTAGATCCTTGAATCGGTACTAATCAAGCCAATAATTAGTATTAAGTATTATTACTGTCCATCAAGCTTATCGCACCAAACCCTGTAAGAGTATCTTTTCTGGGGATAACTAGACAGGTTAAATCCTAATTGGATGGGACTAAATCCGTAGTCATGCCATGAATCAGATCTCTTATGAGTATCCATCTGACTGAGAAATGTGCACTGAGCTTGTAGATGGATGGAATTGATTACCATTGAATATTTAGGTGAAATTAGGTCCCTCTTGCATTCATTGGTAGATGGTTGCTACTTGCACCAGGGACCAGACTTGATTTTATCAACTAAGTGCCTTTATTATTATTCATGACAACATCATCCATGATAACAGTTAATCGTAATACCACTGCTGACAATGAAGGGGAATAAAGGTACAAGAAAGAGATTTTACACATTGATTGATAATATTGATCCAGACGTTAAAAATATAAGGACACTTTTCAATGTTGAGCCAAGACTTTGATATTTATCATGTCAAAGGCAAATCATCCTTAATTATGCAGCAATGTTCTTGCCATGAATTGGCCAGATGTGCAATACCAGAACATGTAGCAATGCTTACTGTGTGAAGTTCAGATTTCCTATTCTACTAAGCAAGCGACACAATGTAGTTGAGTTATCAAGCATGAAAAGCACTGTGGACTTACCTCATTGTTTGCTCGTCCATCAAATCAGGTGAACAGATTCATCAGAATCTGGAAAATTCGAAATACACTGGCATCCACATGACACCAGCTGTAGTAAAAAATCATGACCTCCCATATCCAAAGTTGTTTCACAGAACAATCGACTAGAACGGCATTATCTTGTCAAAGAAAGAAATGTCCATCACTTGAGAGTACACCATGAAAGAATCAAGGTTCGTC